TGAAAGACACTTAAGAAAGTGCTCAAAATCCTTGGCCATCAGAGAAATGCAACTCAAAACAACTCTGAGATACCACCTCACACCTGTCAGAATGGCTAAAATCAAAAATACCAATGACAACCTATGCTGGAGAGGATGCGGAGAAGAAGGAACACTCCTCCATTGCTGGTGGGAGTGTGAACTTGTAAGACCACTTTGGAAAGCAGTATGGTGGTTGCTCAGAAAAATGGGAATCAACCTACCTCAAGATCCAGCCATTCCTCTCTTAGGTATATACCCAAATACTGCATGTCCTTACAACAAGGACATATGTTCAACCATGTTCATAGCAGCATTGTTTGTAATAGCCAGAAACTGGAAGCAACCTAGATGCCCCTCAACTGAAGAATGGATAGAGAAAATGTGGATGTGGTAGAAATGGCTAGATTAGATCTGGGTTTGGAATATAGGAAGGTTGAATGTGCAGGGTGTGTTGAGTTTTGAGGATGTTGAAACTACTGTATTGGTAAAATAATTAAACTGACACATTGTTAGTAATCAAGTTTATATATTAAGGGTGCTTGCTTTGGGGACTGCTGTAGAAATTAAAACTAGGATTCAAGCATACTGAATGTGGGAACTAGGCATGGAGTTGATATAGACGAAATTTGGGGACCAACTGAATGTTACCCTAGAAACTCCAGGCCTGGTAGAGAGTCTAAACATGTCTGATTCCTCTAACTCAAGCATCTCTCTTGACTGGTGTGAGCATGTTTCAGGGATCCACCATCAGGGACATCCTGTTTTTCATTGTTTATTTTTAATTTATGTGCATCTTTGCTTTCCCTGAATATATGTCTGTTTGAGGGTGTCAGATTCCCTGGAACTGGAGCTATGGAATTGGAGTTACAGGTAGCTGTCAGCTGCCATGTGGGTGCTGGGAATTGAACCACTGAGCCATCTCTCCAGCCCCCAGCAACATCCCTGAGATGAAGGCAGCAAGGAGTGGAGTAAGTGCATGGAAGATTCCATCTCAGATACCTGCTACACAGAAGGGATCTTCACCAAGAGACAGAAGTACTTCTTCCATATCCAAGATGTCAGTGAAGCTGGGGTTGGAGACCCTGTAGAGCTAAATGAGTACCCATGCCACACCACTACCAGGTGAAGACACAGAACTATAGGTTCAGGGCCAACACCCCAGCTCCAAACCTTTTCTCTGAGGCTTCATCCCAAGAGAAAGATGTGGTAATGTTCTGATTAAGAAAAACTCATCCATACTTCTTATGCCTAGACAAAGTCAAGGGTAATCTCTGGGATCCCCTTCCTTGAAAAAATACAAAACAAACACTGTGCCAAATTAGTATCTCTGTGTGCCATTGGAGGGGTAAGGAACATAGAAAAAAAATAAGATGCAGGACTTGCCTTCCAAGATCTTACCTTCTAGGAGACCAAATGAAAAAGTAAATGTTTCCCAGTGTTTCAGTCTTTGTATGCCTTGTACCAGAGCCACAAAAGGGGTTGTATGTGGTAGGTACAGGCAGTAGGCAGGGGCTTCTGGAAGTTATCATCACATACTTTCCATGTGTGCTTATGGCAGGTGCAGGTAGTGGCAGAGGCCTTCTGCAGCTGTCCTTGCACACACTACAAAATGTAGCTCTCCACTGCCACTTCTTAAATTAAGACACAACCTTTTTGGTGAGTGGGCAATGGGGCCTACTTTGACACCAGAAAGCAGGCTTTTATCAGCCTTTGATTGATAGGTTTTTTTTTTTTGGGGGGGGGGGTTGTTTTTTCTCTGAGTCCTGGAGCCCTGGAGACATTGACCTATGGCACAGCCCTTGTTTCAGAGTCTGTGGTTGGTCATATCTGATGAGATATGAGGTAAAAGCAAAGTACAATCTGCTGGGAAAGAAGTGGAGAAGGGGTGAAGGGCAGGAGATACCAATGCAGAGAAATCTACTAAAAATTGGAGTGACCTCTTCACAGAGGACTGGAAGCTTTAAACAACAGGAACAGAAAACAATGAACCTTTATTGAATATTAACTACATGGTGGCCTCCTTATCCCTTAATCCTGTAAAATAGGCAGCCACTGTTAGTCTTTCTTTTGCAAATGAGTCAATGGGTATCATAAAAGAGATGTAAATTGCCAAAGGTCACAATCTATTAAATGGCAAGGTGACACTTCACAATCAAGTTTTTCTGACTCTAGGACATCTGCTGTCTACCACTCACTGAAGGAAAGTGTGTGGTTCCATCTTCCAACAGGCTGAACAGGTGGGAGGGGAGGGGAGGGCGAAGGCACAACTTCTGTCCCCAGACTTCCAATTCTTTGGGATTTCTCCAGACCTCCTACAAACCAGTAGCTGTTTGAAAAGGCCCCCAACACAGTGACTCTGACCTGGAACCATAACCCTGATGTCCAGGAAGATGGTGATGCACACTATGTCACCTGAAGAGGGATGAGAGCAGCCCACACCTGGTTCACGCTGCTAAGAATGTCTTCAGCAACAAGTGCATGGTGACACAGCAGGACATGCTACTTCAGACTAGTGGTTCAAAATGAAATGGGTAACAGTGACCCACCGCTTGTCAATAGGACCAGAGTGAATATAGGACTGGAGGCCTGCTCAGGAAGCCCTGATAGTGAAGAGTCATTAAGGGTACCCAAGAGTTGAGATCGGAGAACCACAGAGATGGGTCATCACTTAGAGTGCTTTGAGAAACTCAACAGAGATTTTATCTTGTGGGTGCTTTCAGAGATGTGACTGATACAGAGATGGGAAGGTACCCTTTGGGGCCTAGATAATAGTGAGGGAGAGGAAGATTACAGAGCCAATTTGAAGACTGCTATAGAGGGAAGGAGGGTGGGGGTGAGGGCTAGGACTCTGGAAAAACAGTGGTAAACAGTCTGCAGGGATAGAGATAACATCAGGAAACTGGAATTGAAGGCTAAATGGGACAAAGAGGAGAACCTAAAGGCTGACTTGACATAGGGGAAGCCTGGAGGAAGAGATCCATGCCAGGGTAAGGAAATGAGAATACCAGGATCCAAGAAGCAGGTATGGAGAAGGCATGTAGATTCCCTCAGTCTAGGAAAACATAAAAATCTATGAGGCTGGAGTGGAGAGGGGCACTGTGAGTGTACAAAAGCCCTTAAGAACTGTGTGCATGTGGTGGCACATACCTTTACTCCCAGCATTTGGGAGACAGACGTGGGTAGATTTCTGTGATTTTGAGGCCAGCCTGATCTAAACAAGCTCAAGGCCAGGCTGTATAGTGAGGCCATCTCAAAGAAGGAAGGAAAGAGGGAGAAAAAGAGAGAGGGAGGGAGGGAAGGAGGGAAGGAGGGAGGGAAGGAGGGAGAGAGGGAGGAGGCAAAGAAGAGTACACAGTTGAAGCTCCCATAATTGCTAGCACCTGAGAATATGACCCACATCTTCCTGGGTATCTTCTGAGCTTTAAGATGAGGATGACTCACAGCTGCCCATCCCACCTATGCAGTGTGGCTCTGAGCACCAAGCTGAAATCCTATCAGCAGGACTGGCACCATGCAACCTGCTTTCTGATCCACTGTGCTCTGTGGCCAGGACTACCCCATGACTGGCACCTTCCTTGGGAACCCATGGGTCGTGGTGACTATCTACAAGGGTGATGTCAACATCACTGTCAATTCTAAGTTCTGGCACTTCACCAGCAATGTGTGTACCTTGGTCATCCCCACCTGCACACTAAAGGACAGCCATGAATACTGCATGCTGCTAAATCATGAGCTAGGCAAGGACCATAGCAGCTGCACGCTACTGTCTATGATGAGAATACTACCAGGCATGGAGGGAGAGCACATCCATCCTGGCCAAGGGCAGGGGCCCATTCCAGCAATTGAATAGAGCCGTTTTTTATTTGATCTGCTATCAAATGGTACAAATATTCTCCCATCTTATCAATGTCATATATAATGTTCCTGGCCCCTGTAGATGTGGAGAATTCATGATCCCTTGCTAAACTGTGACAGCACACATTGATGGACTGAGACACACCTTTCAAAAAGATACTGTTCACCAGGTTTAAACCAGACTGACCCATCACAATTTATCCAGCAGGGTTCTGGGAGAAATCTGTACACTTACAAATTTTCCCGAGTGATTTTTGATATGTATCAATGTTGAAAATCACTGTTCTAGGGTAAGAACCAATGAGAAGCTCAAACACACGGAAGCATAAAGGGGACCACTCTTCTCACATATGCCTGCCTTGCTTTTGCTTGTGATGTACACGTTTGAGGAGATACTTTACTCGTTGTCATCCAGTCTGCTGCCTTCATGGCTACATGGCTAGCAGTGGGACCCTTCCAAAGTGAAGCCAACCTGCCATGCTATGTTGTTCAAATTCCTCCCAGCTTCTCCTAATCCTCATGTTAACATTCTAGCAGGCCAGGCACCCTGTTCCCTATCTCTCCAGCTTCTTGCTCTATGGTAATGCCCCTCCATAGTTGTGGTCTCCATGGCTACAGATCTTTATTCAGCCAGTTAGAAATGTCTTTCCTTAGGGGGAAAGATGGTGGTATCCCATTGCTCTGTCTCTCAAGTGCTCAACCAGGTGTCTGGCACTAAGAAGATAATGCTTCCAGAACAGAGACTGAAATGTGTCAGAACTAAGCAAGGAGGGCATGGGTGATGGAGGTAGAAGAGCCAGCTTCCATTCCACAACCAGAGATTCCTGGCAGTCACTCTAGTTGGTATTAGGAATACATATTGGGGCCCTGATGCCACCACTGCCTAGCCACCTTTCTGTTTCCTCACCTACTGGGTTATGAGGAAGCACCTGACACAATTCCTGGAAAAAAACAAGTATGACTGGTGGCAGCTTTTGAACTCATACACAGTTAATACAGCTTGGAAGGCACGGGGACCAGTTCTCAGTTCCTCTTTAGTGACTTTAAATCCAGCAATTTCAGATCTTCATGAGCACTAATAAATATCTGCTTTGATTTTTCAAAGATGGCAAGTTAAGCCCAAGCACTGATCACTGAGAATCTTCAGAAGGAGGAGCACCTCATGCAAGCTCCAGCCTGGAGGCATCAGCATCAGCTGTGGTGTGGGGCTTTTGGGCCAGTCTGCCTTCCCGGACGGACTGACAAACAGACTGACAGACGTGTCACCTTAAGTATGTGGTGAAGGTTCAGAACAAGACACTCACTGAGCTCACTGTCCCTGCTCCTGAGAATGGAGTACAACAGGAACTCTGGGGATGAACACAGCCAACCCACACACATGAAGTCACCTTGGGGCTTCCCTTCCTTCTTCACACTCACTCACCCTCCCCTCAGCACACAGGACAAATTCTGCTGACTTCCTCCTCCTCCCATCCTGCTCCCTCTCATTTCTTCACATTACAGAGGTCTGGGTTCAGCATCCTAAAGTTTAAATGGATCAGGGCCTTGCTCCCTAAGTATCCAGACTCCTGCCATCAAAGCAGGATGGAACTGTTCATGCAGTTTACTGATTTTAAACATGGTTGATGATAATAGACTACTTCCTGGAAGAATTTTAAACTTGAAAAATGATGGAGCCCTGAGCCCTGCTCCGCCCCCACACACCTCCCTACTTCTTTGCTTTCTGTTCCATGAGAGGTATCTGTAAAATATTTAGTTTGGGTCTAGCTTAACAGCTCATAATGGTAGAGCATAATTTTAGCACATGAAATGCCTTGGGTTTGATCCCCAGCACCAAAATTTAGAAAGTTATACATTCATCTAACACTCATGAGGTTTGAATCTCCTGTATTATATTCCCCCAAAGGTACAGCAAACATGTCAATGGCATATTCACTATTGACCCTTTCTGCTTCAGGACTAAGCACTGCCTGTTAAAATCCAAATGCCCCTGGAGTAAGGCAGAACAATATTCTACTGAGTCTTCAGGTCTAAAGTAAGCACCGGGTAATCTAATGCCATTGCTCCCAGCTGCTCAACTAAACCCAGAGTCCAAGGAGGAGGCAGTAGAATAGAAGTCTGCACCATTTAGAGAAGCAACTGGTCTGGGCTGGGGATGGGGAGAGGGTAATGCAGCAACTGCATAGCTAAGGGTTACCAACACTACTAAGCACCTATACACAGAGCACTATTCAAGGACAAATGTGGGCAATGGTAAGACACTACCCCACCCCAACCTCCTTTGTAGAAAGCCGGGCATGGGCATGCGTGCTTATAACCGAGGGTCTAAAAGAAAGAACAATACAGGTACTTAATGTCCTTGTCTAGCTTCTGTGTGTGCTTGTATAGGCACTCATAAACTCAGGTGAATGAATTCACCCCCTAACATGTAGCCCATACCATGTACATAAATGTAAGCACACACACACACACACACACACACACACACACACACACAAACCAGAGAAGTGACACCCACTGAAACAAGTAATGTCAGCACGGCCAGGGAACCAGCTAGGTGCCAAGATGCCAAGACAACTGTGACCCAGGCTGTGAGGACAACCAAGGCTCCTGGCACCATGCCTCCACCCCTTGTCCAGGACAGGCATGCGCCACACAGGCAGACAAATTAGGAAGACAATGGCTCTTGGGGTTTTATTTTATTTTATTTTTCACATAGGCAGTAGAGGGTGGAGTTACCCCAGCCTTACTCCCCTTGCATTGACTGTGCCTTACGTCTTAAGACCCCAAAGTGTCATTTAGATCTCACTCCCAGGGCAGGTAGAAAGCACTGTTGTTGGTGTGCTAGGGTAGGGCCCCCAGCTCTGAGCTAGGTTAAGCACCCTTCAGGAGCTCTCTGAGGCCCATCCCTTTAAGTCAGTTACAGACAGCAGGACAAAGACATACAGCTAGAGACCAGCCCCTTCCTTTGGCATGGTTTACCTTAGCCTTGCGGACAGAGTCTGAGGGAGATGGTTGAAGCCTGAGCTCAACCTGTGAAACAGGACCAATCTAAAACCTTGGCACCCTCAAATTTCCAGACCAAGGAAGTTCTCATAGATAGACATCCATTCACTACTTGAAGACTGAGACTTTTGAAGTAACAAGGCTAGACAAAGGAAAACAACACTCCACTTTCAACCAATCTTCCCAAGAGGAAACCTGGGGAAGGAGCTTCAAGCCCTGGTCCTGGGTCATCTTGGGAGAGAAAAAGTGGGAGAGGATGAGCCTGGCATTGCCATTGGTCCTAGGCATAAGAGATAGTCACACTCTTCCATCTAGCAAAAAAGGGGCGTCAACAAGCACCATCACCTTCCAGGAGGGCTTTGACAGCCCTGATGGGGTGCAAGAGGTCTACTTTGACTTAGGCGAAGGATACGAGGCTGCCTCTTTGAGCTCTCAGCATCATCCTGGACAACCAGCTTTCCCGGGAGTGCCTCCAGCTTACCGAGCCAGTCTGCCACTTTCTCAGGAGGTGCCTGCTGATCCAGCTCCTGCACATTTCCAAAGTCTGGGCCCCAGCCCCAGGAGAAAGGTGAGCAGACCCCAGTCCCTTCAGTTGGCCTTGCTCAGTCTATAGTCTTCCACTGGCTCCCGGCTCTCGACAGCAGACAGGGCAATGAGCATCTGAGCAGCATAGTAAGTGGACATGATGAGTGCCCGAGAGTAGGGCACAGGAAAGCAGAACTTGTTGAGAGCGATGGTCAGGTCTGAGATGATGAAAAGCAGTGCACCGCTGCCAGCCGCCAGCTCCGTCCATCGCCAGGCTGCCCCAACCAGCCGCAACCCTGCCATAGCTCTCCAGCCCATGAAGCTGATAAGGGCCACATAGACCCCTACCAAGTAGGTGAAGGCACCTGACAGCCCTGGGTAAAGTAGAGCATAGCACAGGCCTGACAGCACTCCAATCACCAGACCTGTCCGGAGAGCCAGTGGCCGCATGCCAAAGGCCGAGGCATAGAGTATGTGTGTCACAGCAAACATCAGGAGACCTGGAAGTGAGAGGGGATAAAGAATGCTAAAGGCAGGCTTGGTGACTGAGTACTTGTGTGCAAGAGAATGGGACTAGGAATAACCTAGCAGCTTTGCTCTGGGACTAAGAGGGTAAAGTTTTAAGCTCACCCTCTCACATACTCCCTTAGAGAACTAGTTCTCCTCCAACAGAAGACGAAAATCCCCAGTCTCAAAAACCTTCCAACTCCCTATCCCCTCTTCCAAAGCCTTCCCCAACCCCGACCCCAGGACCCTCTTTCCTCCAGCCCCAGGCACCCTCCCAGGCAACTCCTACAACTACTGACCATACTCAAAGTAGCCGTGGTCCTGCCAGATGAGGAAGGCATCACCCACAGCAGAGAAGACGAGCCCCACAAAGATGAGGGAGGCACTGGGGTGGACCAGCAGGAACCTGATGCCATGGGCCAGAAGGAAAAGCCAGAGGCAGAAGATGGGCAGGCACTTAATAAGGGCACTGACCCACGATGGGCTGGATGAGGGAAGCCAGAGCACAAAATACACACAGGTGGCCTTAAAGAAGGGCACCAGTTTGGGTCCCTCACTCTTCACCTGGAAGAGACAAGACAAGGGCAATACTCAGAGGTCAGGGGCCCAGAAGCCCATGGTGGAATGTAAAACCCATCACCTTTCCCCAAGGCTACAGTGCATACACTAGCCCTATACCACTCAGAACAGGGAGAACTGATAGAGAAACCTAGCCTGTCTAGCTCCACTCAGCCAGCTGAAGTCTGATTGAATGAAGTCATTATCACCCTAAGGCTCAATTTACCAGGACAGGCCAGGGCTCCCCTGTCCTGTCACTCTCCTCCACTCTTGACCCTAGGACTGGGCCAGAATAGTCATTCACTGGACCAACAGTGAATACTAGGATATTCCCTTATGCAACCTAGTGCTTTCCCTTCTGGTTTCCTCCTTTTTAGCCCCCCTTCCAGTCAGCATCAGCTCCCAGCTGTGTGGAACTGGAGTGATATCAGAGGGAAACCACAGAAACACAATGACTGACCAACTCATGATCCCAGCTTTAGAGCCAGGACTCAGGCTTAGAGCCCTGGCAACACCAGGTGAGTGCCAGGAATGTAAGCAAGTGACAGTACTTCCACTCCACAGGCTTTCTGTCCTGCCCAGTCTGCCCCTCAGCTTCCACTCCACCTGTGTTAGACTAAAGGTGGCATCAAGGACAAAGAGGTGCTAGGGATGCTGGGAAGAGAAATAGATTTGTGTTGGGAGCAATAAACAGTGCTTGAAACACCAAAGATTTCCAGGGCTAGGGGGTGTTGGTCATTTTTTTTTTCCCAGAGAACAAGAACAACTTGAGGCACCAGAGACAGGAAGGGGGTGGGGAGGGCTTCTTGTCCCAGCTTCTGATCTGGAGCCAGCAGACAGGCTGGGAGGAGATGGGGAACTGAGAGAGGGAAGTTGGCACAGCTGACTGGGTCTCAGCTGGACTAGGGGGAGGGCAGCTAAAGAAAGGTTTTACTCAAGGCCACTGCAGGCACAGTCTGAGCTGGGGGAGGAGAGTCTGCAGATGTTCTATGGTCTCCCCAAGCTCCTCCTCTTGGGTTGCTAGCTCAGGGTTTCTGAGGGTGAACTGGAGCAGTTCCCAATAGACCCCAAACTTCACCTAAAGTACTCTGGCTGGATGAGCAAGCTGTTCCCGGAGGACTCCAAGTACACACTCAGATTCCCAGGCTACCAGGTACCTGATGTAACTGGGGAAGGTTAGAGAAGAGACATATAGTGGGTCCAGGGAATAAGCCTGCTCTTGTTCTGCCAGAGGTGAGAGATGAAAGCAGAGTTGACACTCCCTTCCCATGGAAACTTCCTTATCAGGGATAGACAGGGTGAGGGCATGGTCAAAGGAGGAGACCCCAGAGGATGCCCAGCACCACCTGTCAGCCCTCGGAAACATCAACTTTGCTCTCCCTTCCTCACTCAAGGCCATATTTTCTAGAAGAAACCGGCAGTAGGTGATGAAATCATGACAGAGAAGCCAGCCTTACAAGAGTGGGGAGCCAAGCCAAAGGTTGGAGTTGAAACAGTCTGAAAAGGAGGTCAAGCCAATAGAGAGCAGTCCACCGTCACTTAGACTGAAGCGTCACCCTTTGCGCCTACAAGATGACTTTGAAAACAACTTGGGGCAGGATTCCCAAGAGGTCGACCCACACACACACACCCTCTCGAACGCTCCTCTGAGATCCCACCACGCAGAACCCTGAAGCCTGCTGCGTCCTGTCCCAGGCCAAGACCCGCAGACCCGCTCCAGACACACATGGATCAACAAAGTCACGCTTCCGAGTCACGTGCACAATGTTTTCCTCCCTCCCGCGGGCAGACGGGGGGCGCGCGGAGGAGGGGTGCTGCGTGAGTGAGCAGCAAGGGAC